AATTATTGGCCTCTTGTACTTTAATTGAATCAAATAATCATAGTCCAAAAATAAGTGGCAATGTCGAAAAAATAAAAATTAAATTGACAGTCTGGATCCCCTTAAAGTCATAAATTATATAATATTTGTATTAAGAATATAAAGAGGATACTTAAAAATGGGAAGATATATTCTTTGACAGATAGATATGCAATATCATCTAAGTCTCGTACTGAACTTCACGATAAGCTCTGAGTTGGAACAAAGATATGTATGTGAATAATAAAACCATAAATGTTGTAGAAGAAAATATGAATGTCTTATTATAGTCTTAGTATGGGGAAGCCCCTATTAATAAGATTCAATATCTAAAAGTCAATTTTACAAGATTAGTACATTTTACATTTAAAAATTTTTAAATTTCTACCTATCAAATTTATGTAGCAAAAAAAAAATAACATGAAATGAAAAGGTAAATAACAAGCTGGAGGTAAAAACTGCAATTCATATCATTAATAAAGAACTAATCTCCCTAATATCTAATAACTCTTAGTAATTGACAAAGAAGAGTAACCATCTAATAGAAATTAGATCCAATTATTGTAACACACAGTTCACAGAAAAATACCATTGGCTCTTCTACATGTAAAGTGTTTCTTAGCTTCACTCAAAATAGGAGAAATATAAAACTATAGTGACTTAGCATTTTTAATCCATTATATTAGCAAAAAGCCAAAAGTTTTTTGACATAGTGTGTTGGCAAGGGTGCAAGGAAACAAAGATTTTATACATTGTTGATGGGAGGATAAGGTGACATGAATGTGAATTGGAACAAATGCTTATAAGCTTTGACTCAATATTCCTATTTCTACAAATTTATCTTATAATATGTTTGTAATATGTTGAGGTTACAAATTTATTCATTGCAGCATTGGTTTTAACATCAGAAGATGGGATACAATTTGCAAACAATATCCATTGGTAGGAGACTAGTTAAATAAAGGACATCTAGTAATGAAATATTATCCCAGTGTATAAAAAATGAAGATTCTTTTGAATATGGAAAGATTTCCAAAATATATTGCTAAGTTAAAAAAAAAAAAGGAAGGGGCAAAATAAAATAAGCTACATTTGTGCAAAAAAAGAGAAACATGCTGGTAATTATGTTTAAAAAGCTAGAAAGATATACAAGAAAATAACAAAGTGATTATTACTCTTTTGGGGGTGTGTAGGTAGGGGATTGAGAGCTGAGCAGAAAGGGGACTGGGATGGATCAAGACTCTTCACTAGATACCTTTTAAACTTTTTGATTTTTGAGCCATCCAAATATATACCTATTTGACAACAACAACAACAAAAAAAGAAAAAGAAAAGAAAAAACACCACTAAAAATTATAAGTAAACCGCACTAAAAGTTTGTTGAGACCATACTTCAATGGAGTAGGACTGAAATGTTAGCCCTTTAGTTTCTTGCCAATGAAACTATAAGAGACTAGTATAATCCATTAATTTGTTTCCCCAATACTCAATTTAGATGTAGAATCCTTACACTCAAACCACTTATTGATGGTTTTATTTCATGTGTGCATTTAATAATTTTAATTGCACTTTATGTCTTGGTTTCTTACATTTTAATTCTGTTAGTTGTTATCTAACAATGTGTTTAAATCATAGTTTTAAAACACAGATTGTACCAAAATCAAGACTAGTATTCATTTTAGAAGTTACCAGATATTTTTATATAAGATGCAACGTTAGAAACCATAATATTAATTAAAATCTCCGCATGTTTTATCTTGCTTATATTTGTCTTCTTGAATATATAACATTGTCAAATTGCCATTCTATAACATAATGGTAATAGCAGTAGTCTTAGGAGTTTATTTTCATTAGAGTTATAGTACAATTTACAAATATATATATAAATAAAAGCATTAAACATCTGCTCATATATGGGATTCAAGAGCTACATCTTTAAGTTTTGGTAGGATTCATTTACTAGTTGTGTGAATTATTTAATCTTTCAGAAGGTTGGTTTTTAATCTGTAAAAAGGACACTAATACTTACCTTAGAGGGTTGTGGTTAAGATTATAGCAAATGTCATTAACATACCTACCATAGTATCTTGAGTACAGGCATTTATTATTCCTTTGGTTGCGTTGATCATGGTGTGAGCCCTAAAATTCCAAGATGAATATTAATAAGACAGTGTGCACAGTTTGCCACTAGCTATATTTGATTTATTTAGATAAAATTAATAGGGAGGGTTGATTACAAAATATTCACAGCTATAATTTTGTGTCTGCTTATATTTTTCACTTACTGAGAGTATGGTAGGGTCAACTGTTTAACTGTTTAATCACTTTTAATATAATAATCTTCCCAAAGTGAGTAATATGGAAAATTAACTGAAATATTTTAAATAATGGTTAATTGTTTAAAAAAATAGTATATACATTGGATAGAGTAAAATGCAGCTATTAAAGACCATCTGCTAATAAAATAATTATGGCATAGCAATTTTTCAAAATATGTAAATTAAAAAGGTTATAAAAGTTTTTATAAAAGGATTTTAAATTTATAAATAAAAGCCTATCATATATAAACACATGTATATTTCATAGAGAAAAAGATGGGAAGAATATACACCAAATGTTAATAGTGGTTAATTTTTTGAGTATTGGGTTCTTTCTGATTTTTGTTTTATCTATACTCTTTTCTAGATCTTCCAAATTTTTTACAGTGAGCATGTATTGCTTTATATATATATAACAGTGTGTTTTCATGTATTCTTTGAGATTGGATTTGGATGAGTAGAATTTAAATATATGTACCTTCTTTAAAGAAACAGTTCAAAGCTATATTAACTTTGTCAGTGGAATTTTATTCTAGAAGAGTAGAAGTTGGCACCTGGAAGCACTCTTGGAAGGCTTTCCAATTGAGGAGGGGTTTATTTTGGTAAAGTAACACTACCACTGTAGCCCGAAGGCTACTGCAGTGGGATCAGATCTCAGGTCACATCAGTTCAGTAGCTCAGCATGTAGCTCAGCTCTCTGAAATTGTGGGCCACGTTAAGAAGGGTTTTTTAAAAGCTGATCCCTATGTCTTTTCATATACTTCAATCTGCTCATCATGACCACAGGTCATTGGGGATGGCAAAAGTAACACATTAAGCTAATGTAAGCAAGGTTATTTTATACTGTGTAAATGCAGAAAAAATTTTTAAAAATTTCTATAGCTTGGCCATACTTCTGTTGCAGTAAAAAACACCTACTTTCCAGTGAATAAATCTACATCTTACATAGTTCTTATTATTTCATTTCTTAGTAGTTAGGTTATCCTAGTTGACATTAGACAGAGTACCCATTTTGAATACTTTGGGGGAATCTCATTAAATACTGAAAAGGATAATGCGTTGTGGGTTGCTATTTAGTAAATTGAATGATTTTTTCCCAACTTATATTCATTTCATTCTTTTGACAGTTCTATATGGTGTCACTGTAGCATTATGCCTGATTATTTATATTTTAATTAAAATTAATAATAGCTTTTGAGATGTATCACAATCCCTTTTGTTTTAGAGATTTGAAAATTGAGACCCAGAAAAGTTAGTCCTGGACAAAAGCATTGTCCAGGACTACACAGTGCATAGATTAACTTCAAGTCATTTGACTTCCAGTTCACTATGTATTTTGCTCTACTACATTCCAGTATTCTTTGTAGTTCTCTAAAATGTCAAGAAGTGTCTAGGTTGGGATCTTTGTGATCCCTCCAAGGAGTTTAGAAGTATGTATGTGTGTTGTGTGTTTAATTATTTTTTTCTCTCCTAAGAATTACTGTGATAAGTTATCCAAAATATCACTGAAAACTCTGATACATGAAGGTAGATATTCATTTCTAGCAATGGCTGAACTTGAACCATTATTTTCATACCTTATTTAATATTACGTTCCAGTTAGGTTCTCACTACAGATGGAGCAAATCTGCTTTTTCTGTAGTGAGAGAACATTTAGAGACAATTCCTCAATTAGAATTTTGAGATTCTAATGGAAGGTAGAAAAATCTATATATGCACATGTACTTAAAATGAGCCATATGGTTTGTCAGGGGTTCAAACATGTCCCTCTTTGACAACTGCAACTATGAAGCCATGTGACCTTATCATTATCATCTCTTTCTTGACATAAATGTAATAAATATTGCCCAACTAAGAAATAATTCTTCATTTTGTTTGCTGAGCCTTAAAATTCTTACGGGCAAGGGGTTAAAAAGTATCTTCTGAGGACTGTTATTTGATTGTCTTTTGTTGTTAACAGTCCAAGTGCTTTGTGATGGCCTTCTTTCAGTGTGTGTCTGAGGAAATCCTAAGTGTTTCAGAATCTGGTCAGGCTAATTGCCCATAATAGACAAATAGACCTGTTGACAAATGGGAACATTCTCCTTCCCTCAGCCTCCTATATGTGATATAGTTAATTTCTAAATTTCTTATTTTCCCTATTATAATCAATCAATAGCATGATATATATGTTATTTACCATATAATGGCTTGCTTGATGAGTGACATGAGAGATATTTTGAATGAAAATTACATTAAAAGATTTTTTGTCTTTCAGCTCTAAATTGGAGAGATACTTGTTATTTAAATTGGAAAAAGACTATTTAGTATCTCTGTCCAAGTATTACATATTAACTGCATTTTAAATATGTGATTACTTAATTTGCTCATCATAGTACTAAACATGAACAACAGATCTGAGAGACAGACTTGAGATGCTTCACTTTTAGATTTTCTAAGTGGCCAAGGGCATTTAGATATTTGGTATCAGAAATAGAATAGCTACTACAAACAAATATTATTTTTGAAAGTAGTTAGACCATCTTTTCATTTAAATAAAAGAAAGGATCTCTTAAATTCAATAGGAAAAAAATAATTTGGTCCTCTCTGTAATTTTTTTAACCACTGAAGAGATTAAAAAACAGGATTGATTTTAAAAATATTCAAATACTAATTATTTGATTCATATTATCATTTTGGCAGTGCCTTTTTGGAAAAGTAGTCAGTTATTAAGTTTAAAATTGTAAAGACAGTTTAGGTAAATTTATATCTTAAAAGAAAAACTGTAATCACTTAATTCTTGCCACTGTATTTCTGATAATAAAAATATATTGACTGAATAAAATGTTTTCAAACAGATTGTACATTTATCTTTTGTCCTAGACATCTTGTTTTTATCTGAAGTAGGCAAAACTTAAAACTAATGTAAAAGCAGTTGTTTGGAAACTGTTGAATCTTTTTGTAAACATTAGAATGAAATGAAGTTTTCTGAAAGAGTTTGGTTAAGCATTGAGCTAGAGCATACCATTCTTACACGAGAAGTTTTAACCAAGAGGCCAACCTATTAATAGTTTTAGCTGAGAAGTTTTTTCATTGTTTTATGTGTTTGTTTTGCAGAATTTTGATTCCCAATGTTTGATAATCAGGAAGTAAAAAGGAAGCTTTGCACTTATTTTTTGATTTTGGTCACAATTTTGTAAGTTGGTAAATTTGATTATTTTGGCTAGGAAAAATATATACACATGTATACATAAACATGTAATTTCTTTAAATGTTCTAGATAAAACCATTTAATCAAACTATTTGGGTATGTTTGGAATATTGGAGGTGATATGATGTATTGTGTATAGACAAAGGTTAAAGAAAACTAGTTTAGAAATTGGAATATCGTTCCTTCATTTTGTGTGTGTGTGTGTGTGTGTGTATGTGGTGTGTTTTTCCTTTGCTCTAGTGGTATTCCCCCCACCCCCTGCAAACCTCTGGTGTATTTTCACTGATAGTGATGTCAGGTTAGGTACTTTTGGGGGAAGCATTGGAAAGGAAAACAGCAAGGGAGAAGAGTACTGGATCTTCAGGGAATGATTGGGAGGGAAGGCAGTCTGGGGAATTGGTTTCTATGGGTAGCTCATGAGAGAGCTTTGCAGTAGAAGAGGAGACAAATCTTTTGGGAGGTTCAGGGGAATACAGGGTCAGTAATTAGACATTTCAGGGAGTCATTGGAATTGAAAGAAGCAGTCAAAGTACAGAGGGAAGTCTTGTGGATATTCCTCAAAGGAAGCCAGTGAGGGAAAGCAATGAACTCCTTTGAGAAAATTCTGGCGTAGGAGCAGGGGGGAATCTCTCAACTATCTTTATTGTTGGCTCCTCTTAACTCTCTGGTGTGTGACAGGATTGGTGTGGTTATAAATGGGTTGGCCCTCTAAATCTATTTTTGTAGGTTACTGTCTTTCTGATTTCCTTTTCTTTTTACAGTCTTATATGAATATGGGAATGGCTGAAGGCTTTATTGCTATATGTATGTTGCATGCTATGTGGATCTTTTAAGGTGTGACTTTATCAAAGTTGGCATCTAAATGCAAAGGAAAATGCAGGGCAAGCTTGTTCTCTAGTTGGGGTTCCTGTCACCAGACCGTAGCATTGTGGAACAATGGATATATTACCTGAATTCACTAGGTACAAGCAGAGTCCCTGCTTCCATGCATGCCCTTATCAGTGTTTAAAATAGTGCCCTGTACTCTGAGTGCTCTCTTTAAAGAGAATACCTCCTTCTCATTCTCTTCCTTTCCCTATCGTTTATGAATGTTTGGGGGGGGGGAATGCTTTTATTTCAATAGCTAGAAAATGTGGGAAAACAAGATTACAAGGTCGAGGTGAAAGTAGTACAAGATTGGAAGAATGAAAATCTTTTTCTTCACTCAGAGTAAAATGATACTTTTGGCTCAAGACCAGGGGAACATGGGAGAGTTAGGATGGTGCAGACAGGACTAGCAACAAGTTTGTTAAGGAATGGGCTGTGAGCGCCTTGTCTCTGCCCTGTGGTTTACTGTTGTATCTGAGTTTTAACTCTTTGTTTCTTGTCCGTTGGAAGCAGTGGTAGAGAGATTACACTAAGCTTTAAAACCACAGGAAAACAAAACTTTTAAAACACTGTGTGGTAGCCTAAATCAGGTTACCAGGTTTTGTTTTAACTGTACTAGTAATGTTTTTCTGAAAGTTTGCACAACCTCTAGAAATGGAATAGTTAACTCTTTTTCCCCCTTCCATTTTATCTGTATTGCAATAGAACCTGAGGTGTGTGAGCATCAAAACACAATTTTAATGAAATGAAGGAAACAAAACACAGTTTTATCCAGAAAATACATTCCTTTAAATACTAAAAATCTTATGAATATGCTATTTATATAACATAATTATCATCACTTTTATTCAGTACATTTCAAAATATAGTACTTTTTTAGCAAATTCAAAGTAATTTTAACATTTCCTTATAAATCTGATCACTATATTTGTAACTAAGAACGAATTTTACAATGGGGCTATTTGAATATTGTTTCTCTTAATAATAGTTGTAACAATTATCATCTTTAACACATCCATATGGACCTTAAATAGCTCCTTCTTAAACTACCTTTAAAATTTTATTACATTCTTATTTCCCCTACTTATCCAAAGTTACAAAACAAATATTTTTTTGAAGATCAAGTATATAGTAATTTTATTGTAAGAAGATACTTTTTTTCAGAGAATGGAGGTAGCAATACCTCCATTGCTTGAAAGGTTCAAGTCATTTCTTATCCTTTCCTTAAAAAAAAACAACTATTATTATTAATTTATCGTTGTCATCATGTACTCATTCACTATTTCATTTAATGTACATTCATTAAGTGCCCACTAAACTTTCATTAATCCTTTTTAGTCTGATTTTATAAATCAGGTTATCTTTTATAAGCATTAATAAAAAGTTTAAAAATTATCCTTTTATGATTGTTTATTAAGCTGCTGGTCCAGGCTTTGGAGACAGTCAGCACTAGCTTCAAATCCAAGTATTGCCAGTAGCTGTGATATTTGTCTGTCATCATTTTTCACAGTCTATCATTGTTCACCCAAACGAATCACTAGCTACTGACTGACCTGTGTGAATAAATTAGTATTCCTGAGCCTCAGGTGACTTGCCTATATAAAGTGAGAATGCTTATATTTGTTAAGATTGTTAGATTAGTTGTATATTTAAGCCCCCTATATAATATTTGGAGCATGATAGGAGCCCAGTTACTTGTTTATATTGTCCTTATCCTGACCATTATATGGATTTGAGCCTTCAGTTATTTCCTTGGCTCCCTGCCATCTTACCTCTCTTATTTTTCTAGTACTGCTTACTCCACTTATTCTAGAATGAAAATGAATGTTATTGACTGTCCGTTTCTCATTTGCTTCCATCTCCGTGTCTTCATGCATGCTGTTTTGCTTGCTGCTGGAGAGCAGCATAGTATTAGTAAGGAAGAATTCCTTTTTAAAAAAAGTTTTTCTTTCTCTGACTTAGCTAGAAATGTGACAGGAAGAGTAGAATATTTGATTATTAGTTAAATTAACAGTATAATTTTCTATAAATTCAATATATGGAGAGTGTTCTTTTAAATATTATATTTAGTCTTACTAAAACTCATTTTGCTATATGTTGTGAATTTTTGTGCATTCTTTTTGCTGATTTCTGATAAGTTATTAAGATTTTGTGAGGTTGACATTTTATTTCTTTTAAAAATTTCATATTTCTTGTACATTGGGAACAAAGAAGAGGTGCAAAAACAACTTCCAAACTTGGTGAATTGTGAACTGCTCTGGTTATTTTATTTTTTTAATTTCAAAATATTAAGGGGGTACAAATGTTTTTGTTACATGGACACACTGTATAATACTGAAGTCAGGGCCTTCAGTGTGCTTGCCACTAGGACAGTGTTCATTGCACCCAATATGTAAGTTTTTATCCCCCCTCCCTCATTTTGTTTGTATTGCATTTAATGGTCAAGCACTATACTTGTATTTTGCATTTTAATTCAGTATCGAAAATTCATTTTGCAAATTTTGTCTTTTTCCATGTTCTCTTTATGCTTCAAGAGCTTACTACCTTTGCTCCAGCTGGATAAAAGTTGGGCAAACAGATACCTAGACAACTGCCAACGGCCCCATGCCTTGGCTTCCTGGGTAAAGAAAGTTGTCAGTATTTCTGGGATTACACATCTGTCCCATCTGAAAGATGCCACTCATGAATTCTAATGAAAATATAATATGATTGAAAACATGAAAATCACCACAACTTAAAAAAGCTTTTTTTCCCTGGTTTTATCTAAAAAAGTGAAAAAGATCTATTTAGCAGATTCAAGCCTAATTGCTTCCTGTTGGCTTGCATGGTGACACTGCTAAGTGCCAGGTTTGAATACTAGTAACCCGTCATGGATCAGTTATCTGAAATGGCAGGTTTATTTGTTAAGGGAGGAATGACATTATTTCCTGTCCTTTAGACAGAACTGAAGTGAGAATATAGTGGTAAGAAAGAATGATTCTTTGCACTTTAGGTGTGAATGTACTATCATTTGTGCTGCTAACTTGATTGCCACAGCTACTATCATTAGCATCTTGGACCAAACATGGAACAAGCTGTACTGTATTTTATGTATGATGGAATACAGAGGCCGATTAAAAATACCCTGAAAGTTGTTGGATTATTTGTTTGATAGCTGATTGTGGTCTTAGATGTTAGAGTCTTAGAGTTATTTTCATTTGTGGATTTAAGCATTTTTAATCATTGCTTTTTAACATTAAATATAAATTTAACTTGGAGCCTGGGAAGGATTTTCTCCATTTGAACTAATTTGTTTTGTAATTTCAGAATCATCTTAATAGTGGTAGTGTCAGTCATCAGAAAAACCTCCATGTATGGGAAATATATATCATAATCCCTTTTCCTAGTGCATTCTTATGGTAGATTGGAATAAAGGTATCTATTCAGATGGTTATGTCTTTCCTGGACTTCTGTAAGTAAAGATACTTTTAGATTGGCATTTAAAAGAAGAAAAATCTTTTAAGGTTGGAGACATAATGAGTAATGATGATTTGGAGACTGCCTCTTATATTTCTCTCCAATCCCAGTCACTATGTAGTGCTTTAAATCACCAGTGAAAGCATTTTCATGGTTTATGAGATTTTTTAAAAAGCAGGTTTGAAACGTATGGAATGATTTACTGATACACCACAACTTATCATTATAGATGCAAGAATGGTTTCTGTGCACATCATTTTGTTCCATTGTATTCATTTTGTTTCATTTTCTCATAGTGATAGGGAATATAGATTTTGTTTCAATAAAAGGTTGTGCACGCATATTTCTTTCTCTTTTCCCGTCCCTCACTCCCTCCCTCTCTCCCTGTCTCTGTCTCTGTCTCTCTTTCTCAATTTGCATTAATGCCAAAACTGATGAGGTCATATTGAAGCCATTAAACATGAGAAAAGAAAATACCTTATAAGTATTATATATTCCATAAAAAAAACCTAAAAACTAAACATTTTAATGTATTATTGACTTTGTTGGCTGTATATTATTGAGCCTTCTTTTACTCTATACAGGTAACTTCCCCTACCTCACCTTTTTTTTTTTTTTTTTTTAATACTACAACATGTTCTGTTAAAGTTGCCAAGTGTTCCTAAGTATATCGTGGTTTAGTGTGAGGAACTTCATTTAATAATTTAAATGTAAACCTGTGAGGTTACTCTTATGGTTTGTTCCATAGTTTGTTTAGTGACTATTTTACAGTATGGAAGGTCTTCTCTACTGCTCTATATTAACTCACGACTATGTTAAACTCTAGTTGATTTTGTAAATAGCCTTTTAGGACAGTATATATTAAATGTGTGGTTTTCATCAGTGGCCACGTGATATATTGATGATTATGCTATTTTTTAAATTGATATCAGGTTTGAATTAGATTTGTATAAGTGAAATATCATCAATAAGGATTTTTAGTTTTAAATTTTAGTTTGTTTTTACTATAAAACAGTCAGTATACATCATTCCTGAAATCAAGTATTCTTTGGAACTGTCCTACTTAATGTGTGGTCTGTTGGTTGGAAAGTGTTACCAGTCTGTCTTAAGATAAGTATAGAAGTTGAGTAAATGCTTAAAACTTTTATAGAAACTTGACAAAGTAATAAAAATTAGGGGCTTGTATTTTGTTTTTGTCAAATTTGATTTTTACTGTGTTATACAAATGTGATAAATTGGAAATTTAAAAACATGGTCTTTCCCACAAATCACTTAAGGAACACTGCTTTAGAAGACATAAGAAGACTTCTCTATGTGCTCAGTGTCAGTTAGTTTAAATGCAATACGTTAAAATATAAACATATCTCAATCCAACTTACTTTACTAACCTACCTTTGTAGGTAACTATGTAAATTTTGTAAATAAAATGGAAATAGAAACGAAAGCCTACTGTTTACTGAATCTAAAGCAGTAGAGCCTTTACTCATATGCCTAATGATAAGTATCATTTATTAAGTGCTTATAATGTGCAACAGTTGTTTTTTTTTTAATCTCATTTAATCCTATAAAAGCACAATGGGGTAAGTTCCATATTACCCTCACTTTAGAGATGTAGAACTAAGGGTCAGAGAGGTTAAAAAATAGCTTGTTGGTCACTTAGCTAACTAGCTAAGCTGACATTAAAACATGTTTTTGTTCATAATAAGATTCGCCTCCTGTATATTACATTTTTTTCTTTTCATAGAGGAGGTAAATACATCTACTTGGTAAAGAATGTTGTTTTGTGCTTATAGTTTTAAGTTGTGTGTCATACTGTAACATCAGGAGCTAATTAGTGGTAGAAAAGGAAAGCTCAAGTATTTGCAAATCCTCAGTGGTAAATTAATATAAGAGAATATAAGATGAGCCTTCATCACCCATGTTGCTCTTGACCTGAGTTTGTTCTAACAAATTATTGCTAAGTGCAAAATTTTAATGATAACTTGTTCAAGTTTTAGTTGATACAGCTTATAAGGGCAAAGTGGATGAGATGTGATTTTTGAATAGCATCTCTACTCTTCATGTGGACATAGACAGTCAACCTTCAGGAAGTGTGTACATGATACTTGCATCTAATAGTAATATTTAAGATATTTTTCTCCTTCAATCTGTTTAATTATCTTTGCAAATGAAAAGAAAGACGAAGAGGGAGGAAGGAAGGAAGGAAGAAAGGAAAGATTGACTTTCCTCATGTAGGATTTCCAACTAAATAAGCCTTCAGATCTTCATCAGTATGTGAGTAAACTCAGCTCATTTCCTAGATGCTTTTCATAAAATTCTGTAATTTGACTATCTTATATTTAGTTGGATTTATATTTTGTTCTTCTTTATTTGGTCTGTTCAACTGCTGATCATTGATGTCCATCTGCCTGATAACCTCTGGACAATGGTTAAGGATTGAGGATAAAAGCTGTCAAGGGCAAGACTAGAAGAGGTAACTGACGCCCTGAATCTCTGTTGCCCTTGAAGGCACTGGATAATGGAGAAACAAGTGCTTGCATGTGTTGGATTTTGTTAGTTGGATCCAGCTGTAGCAAAGAGATGACCGAGGTCACGTCAGCACCTTGGAAGGCTGGGAAGCTGGAACTGGAGCAGCTGAGCCAATCCCCAGACAAACAGGTTTTAACCAGGACGGAGCGAGAGAGTGCTTTGCTTTGGAAACTCTTTGCCCACCAAAGGCAGTGATTCTATTCACAATTTTTTTTTCTACTCTCTGTTCATTTTTGTATAGAATAGATTAGTTTTGAAGACATATTTCTTTTTATATATGGCAAAAGGCAATTGCTACTTTTTACATTAGACTTTGAAATTTTTGTTTTCTTTTTTTCAGAGTAAGAAGCAAAGGAAATGTTAGTTTTATAATAAAATTAAGGTTGTGTGATGGAAGGACCATTTACAGAGTAGTAGTAAGGGTGACCGTTTATTAATTATCAACATTTTAGGTTTTAAGGTTAAATGCAAATTAAATGTGGTGGCTGCCTCAATAATGTGTTTAAATATTTCTAGATTATAAAATATCAGACATTCAAACAACTTTTGACTCTGAGATTTTCCCATAAATCCTAAAAATGGAAGCTTGAATTCTAATCTCAGCTTCTTTACTGGCTTCTTTAGTACATTTTTATAAGTCACCCTTACTTCTCTGTAACATTTCTTCTTAATATATAGATCAGTGGTTCTCAATTATGGGTGCACATTAGAATCATATGGAGATGTTTAAAAAAATACCATTGCTTTCACCCCACCCCATACCTATTTAATAAAAATCTTCAGGGTTGGAGCTAAGGTATCTATAATGGTTTTTAAAATTTCCCCAGATAGTTCTGATGCATAATGCAGATCTAGAACCACAGATATAGAATGATATAGCTGACTTGACTTCTGTGATTTTTCTGAGGTTTATTAATGCATATCAACTATTTTAATCACTCTTGTGAAAAGCACTCTGTAATTCATTGGGTCTTTTAAAAAAATATTGAGTTAGAAAAGGGTACTTTGCTATGATCCTATAGTTTGGTAGATTACATTTAACTATTAAAATGGTATAAAGATGTTTGGTGATGGATATTGTAAATATGTAATTATATCATATTTATCAACATTTGATTACAAATAAATTGTTTCATATGTTAACAAGTACATGCTAATAGGGAGAAGAGGGGAAGAGCTGGAAGTTAAGAGAAAGGGAATGCTATTTATTGAACACCTCTGTATGTTATGCATGAGGTATACTTATAACAACCTCTAATGTAGGAATCAAGATTCCCCCTCATATATCAAAGAATGAAGACTTAGAGTTTGTTAATTAAGTTTAATTATATCTTACTAAGTCTTAGAATCTCAAGGGTACAACTGATCTTAAAAGTCATTTGAATAATTCATCTATTGCACACAAAGGCTAAATGTGGAGGTTTCTGGATACTTTAAAAATTTGAAATCAGGAAAGAACCTTGGGATTTAAAATATCTGTCAGCCAAGATGTAAATATAGGACAAAAAATAGTCCAGAGAGAGAGATTTGGTAATATATCATACAAGTTATACAGCATAACAATTTGCTTAATAGTGCTGTTTATTTTTATTTTATTTTATTTGGTACTTATGGCAGAGATACAATTTTACTTTAATTCTTTAGATATTATTAACCAATACAATGTTTTAAAATATTATATATAAATTTACATTATAAGTCTGATTTTTCCAACCACTGAATACTTTTTAGAACCACAGTAGTAAACTTGAAAACCTAGAATGATTCCCA